AGTGTCAATCATGTTCCTTCAGTCTTTCACTTAGAGCAAAATATCCCAGACACTCCATGTATGCCATATATGCCTACATTGACCCCAAAACCACCCCAATGTAGGTAAATATGCCATACATGGAGTGTTTGGGTATGTTCAGTTGCAGATCATACCGGTCTTATCCAAAGAGACGCGAGACCACGAACGCCACCACCGGAAGCAGGGGACTCCGACTCCTTCCTCGAACGCCCCAACCACCGCCTGCTTCGAACGTTGCACTCGCTTGAGGTAGTTACACCGATGCCTTCGAAGAAGCGGGTGGAGACTATGAGGTCGAAGCCCAGCTTCCGGAGGTGTTCCTTGGAAGTGGATTCTGCGAACTTCGCAACAACTTCAGTCTGTCTAACTCTGGTGTTGACTGCCCAGATATATGGGATACAGAAAATGGATCAAGGCCACTTCTTGGTTGCTGCGGAGGTAGTACAGGTTCAGACCAGAAAAGGATCGTTCTCAGTCTCACATGACAAACCAGGGAATGTTCATCCTACAGACTTTCTTTCCGGATGAGCTGATCCCTGCTTTGAGACACCTGGGCTGGGCCATCTTTGGAAATCCGAGCCCCACAAATCTATTGAAACGTCCACACTTCTTGCATACACTGACGTTTTGGTATTGATGTTGAAAGTATACCCTCGCTCCTTTCCAAGCCATGGACGTGGAGAACCCCCGTATACCCCCGTGTTTGTAGAGTTCACATTGTCTTGATTTTCAGGGGGACCGTGTTTCCACTTCCCTGATTGTTTGTGGGAGTGTAGGTGATCTGCAACTACTGCATTCACAGAGCTGAACTGGTAGACACAGCAGAAGTGGATTCGTCTTGCTGTCGATTTGGGAGAGCCTTGCTGACTGTCTCGCATGTGCTTGAAGCTCTTCAAATGGCTGTGAGTCAAAACCTCCCCCAATTGTGAAGGGATTTGTTCATTTTGAGGGGTCAACCGCGTGGCCCGGTTTTGACCGCCAACTGACCTGAGAAGGGAAGTTGACTCAGTGAACCCACCGATTTCGCACTCGAAACAGACAGAGCCTGTGCTGTTCCAATCCGTTCCATTCGAAAAAAAGAAAGGCTTCAGAGATCACCGATCGATGCCTTGACGTGACTCCGCATGGAGGTGTTTCTGTCGCAACTCGCGACTCCCTCTCGGCAATCTGGTCACCGAAGATGTCACATCTGGCTGTTTGTTTGTGATTTTCACTGGTTCAAAAAGAACCATTTAGCTAGCGGTCCGCAGACCTCGGATCGCTTAGCTCGCTTAGCTCGCGGTGCTTGGTTTGTCAATATAGGTCCAATGATCCGTCCAAAAAGGATCTTCCAATAAGAAGAAGCTTTTTTAGTATGTATTTGAAGCTTCTTAGTTAACAATAAAATACAATAAATCTTTCTAGTAACTAGAAGCTTCCAATCGTTTCACTGGGAATCGTTTCACATGATCTCTAGATCCATCCTGGTCGCGGAGTCTCAACCTGACAGCGCTGCGCCCAGGACGGAGTTGATGCGTCTCTACCGGCGGCCGGGGCGAGTGCGACAGGATTTGGGCTTCGAGATTTTGGGGCTTCAGAGCTTGCAACCTGGAGGGATCAGGAGGGCTGGGCGTTTTGCGTCTGCTTGCTTTGGAGGGCAAGGAATGGAAGGAATAGGGGATGATCTTGGCTGGTAAAACTGAGCTAATTTGAATTAGTTTGCCCAGGTTTTTTGGCTCGGATTTTTTGAGTGAGTACCACCTGGACCAGTTCTGGAGTGTGTGGAAGAACCGTACAAGAATCGTCTTGTGATGTGCTGGAATAGGTGTTTGTCGAATGGAAGGACGTATTTTGCTGCGTCCAATGAAATGGGTTGGTGAATGGAGGAGACGAACCTGTATGCGTATCAAGGTGCAGGGGACGAGCATGCAGATCTTGTGTCCAGAGAGGTAGTTGGGACAATGGTGGTGAGGTCAGCGGAGGAGCTGGCGGAGGAGCTGTCGGATTGGACGGGACTTCTTGTCTCAGCAACCCAAAAAGAATGCTTCCAGGCTTCCCCGTCACCTTTGTTTTGGTGTTTTGGGGATGCTGTCCTCAAGAGGCTTATAGTGTTCTGTGAGCAAAGTGTTTTTGTGATGTCCTTATGAACAAACTCCAGTGAATAGCCCCAGCTACCTTCAGCCATCGAGGTATAGTGTGAACCACTTCTGGTTCTTGAAATTTGAAGAAGAGGCGACCGGACGTTCACTTCGCAAATCCGGGTTTTGCTCCATTCGAGTTTCGTCCACGGACGATCGGCTGAGAGTTTTGTTTGTTTTGCCTAGAGATGGGAGGCTCACAGACTTTGGATGGATTCCGACTGAAGTCAAGGAAGCTCGTTGGTGGAAGAAGAAACTGTTCCAAAAGCGTGACATACCTTTAGCTGCCAAACAGGTGGTAGACATTGAACCTTGGGATAGTGAAAAGCAATGTCATGGGTGAAATTCGAGTATCGGGATCGCTGGTGGAGGACCTCCCAACCTCCTCTTTCACCCGAAGAATCACGTATGCGCGACACCCCAGGATGGCAGGGTAGTAGGCAGGGTCCAGTTTCGCAGCGTATGCTGGCCCCCTCCATGTACCGTACCAACACTGTCTCTTGCGTTGTCTCAAATGTCAGGCTCGTGGGGACGAAAGGCCAACATGGAAAATTGCCTACGTATCTCTGAAGGACCAGGTTTTCCAGCTTTGGCAGCTGTCCATTTTACACCAATCCTCTAATTCCATGTGGCTATATGTAGTTCCTGTTCCAGTGCCAAAACACATTTTAAACAAATCATTAAACTTATACTGAGATACCATACTCACCTCATTCTGCAAAGCGAAATCGAAGCACCCGCCCCGGCCCCTCCTCCGCGACCGCCGCGGACCCGACGCTCCGCCGCGTCCGCGGCTGCTGCTGCGCGACCGGAGGTGAATCGCCTGGCGCAACAGACGCGTGCTGTGCCTCAGCTGGCACCTCTCAAGAGCTACGAGCGCGCCAGGGCCAAGGCGACGACCGGGCCAAAGGATTCGGAATGTCAAGTGATTGAGCAGGTTCTTTTAGGGGGAGTGGATGAGTCCAGGTTTTGACCAAGGAATTTTCAGGGTTAAATGTGAAATGTTTGATATGTGTGTTTTTTGCTTTTAATGGAGGTGTTGTCTAAGACTTGATGCAGTTCACTTGTTCTTTCCATGCAGCTTGGATAGGTCCCTTAGGTGACGAGTGACTCGTTGGGTGCTCACAGAGGTCGTAAGACAAGAGACGTGTTCCATGAATTAGGCAGTTCTGCACCTGTAGGTAGGCCTTGGATTGGAAGCAGTTTCATAGTCTGAAACATTGACTGGCAGGAGTTGGGACAACCACTGAGGTTAACATCCATGTGGCCGTGCAAAGGACTACAAAGGTCATATACGGCCCTTGGCACGAACGGTCCTGACTGATACGGCACAATCAGATGTTTGCTGGTAGTGGTGGCTGTGCCTTGGTTCAAATGCAGTTGAAACCGAGTAATTTGTGTTCTGCTCACACCAAAGCTATTTGGTTGCGGGTCAAGATCAGGATACCATTCGTTGACCTACGTACCAACGTCAGGTCAGGTTACATGGTGGAGGGGTCAAGTTCCAGGCGGCCGGCCGTGAAAACGGCCGCGCCTACACCAGGGTCGGCCTCCGGCCCAATGCCACTGGCAAGATCTCTTTGGTCTTTTTTTTTGGGGACTACAATTGACTCAAATGTTTCATGAAAAAAGGACATGTATGACTTGTAACAACCGAACGTAAGGCTTGCGGGAGAACCCTTCAGTCTTCAAAGTATATTGTGCGACATGGTACAACCTTCCAATTTTGGCTCTCAGAGCAATTGCAAATCTCCTTGTTACAGCGCTCATTCGTATGAATTCAATGCTTCCTCAAACATTCAAAGGAAAGTTCACCTCAAGAATATTTAGATAAGACTCTGCTCAAATTTCAATCCAAACCTGTGGCAAATTTGAATCATTTTGTTTGGCTTCTTGAACATTCCTTAAAAACCATGACCTCCACACCTTTTCACCTCCAAAACCCGCGGAGTCAGTCTGTCCCTGGCCGGGACCTCGACCACCGCAGGTGCTGACCCGCTATGGTGGCGACGTGTCTTGTTTGACTGACGTCATGAGGGCCTCTTTGGTGTACCCCACCATCGCGGAGGCCGTCCGGGCCGGCGGGGGGTCGGTGGACCAGGACCTGGAGGTGATTTGAGGTGTAAACCACCGGACTTGGAAGGTCCGGACTATGGATTTATGCTTTTGATGAGTTTGATGTATGGTTTCATTACATCACTGCACCTTTTTCGTTGTATGTCTCGTGGATGAGTTGTGGACCAGCCTTTGGGCCTTGGCACCGTTCTGTCATGTCACGCCTCATTTCGACGACGGTGGTGTCCAAATTCACAGGGAGCCTTAGGCCAACCGAAGAAGCACAACCTGAAGAAGTTGAGGGGCACAAGAAGTTCCAAGTCTTCGCATGGATTCCAAAGGCCATACAAAAAGCTTGTGCTTTTTCTACGTGACATAGTTCAAGAGTTTAAAAATAGTTTAAATATGCCTTAATACCAGTGTCACGCTATTTGGTGGCCGATCTCTCAGTGAATTTGGTGATAGAATTGTGGCTTATAACTTATTTTAGTTTCGTTCAGTAAGGATACTTGCAAATAGCCACGTGGACGTTGGAAGAAGCGATCAGTGGGTGCATCTCCAGGACAACATCCTTGGATTGGGTTTGATGCTTCGCGTGGGCCTTGCTGGTTTTGCAGCCGTTTTTGCATGTGATTCGCATGGCAAGCCACCTTTTTGACGCCAACCCTGAAGCAATCCACCCCCCCACCACCATCCACCCTTCGCTTCACCAATCACCAAGGTTCGTTCGTTTCGATGCAGGTCTACTTGGCCTTGACCGGCATTCTGAGAGAGGACCGTGATCAGCCTCGCCATGACTTCAGGGTGATGGAGGTCAATGACCGATTTCAGTTCTGTGGCTTGCCGCAACCGGGATGTGGCTGCGCCACAGTGGTTATGGAGGGTCCAACGAGCTTCCCAACAGGTAGATGTGTTGGATCCGTAGAGTAGATCCCAACTGGTACAGATAGACATTTGTCTTACCATCGAGTCCCTTGGAAAGAAATGCACTGAAAGAGTGTTGAACTGACTCACTTCATGCACATCTGAAAATTGCCACAGTGGCAGCCACAGTGGTTATGCACTCCACACAAACTCCGTAATATGTAGAGTAGAGTTTTTTCCGGGGGGGAGTTACACTCCGGAGTGCGTACTCCGGGAAGAGTCCCATGGCCATATGGAAATCTGTGTGATATCGTGGGTGGAGGCCATTACTTCTAACTTCTAAGTAACAAGAAGCTACTAGTAACCTTTATATATACCGTGGTTATGGTTACTGCTTCAATTCGCACAGGACATCACAGGACCAAAGAGTAACCCACTTGTGCTCGGGGTGCACCAGGATTGAGCTTTGTCAAGAACAATCAATGCACATCAATTGTAGATTAACTACCAGGGTGACCTCCAGATGAGACCTGCTAGCAAGGTCCTAGCAAGGTCGTGCTCTTTTCTGATGGGCCACACACAAAAAGAAGCGCCGCAAGTGCCACGGCGCCTAGGCCACGACGGATACCGCGATATCACGCTCCTCTTCGATATGCCTCGCGGCGAGACATCTTCCTCGTGTTTTCCTCGTGTTTTCTCGACGGTCGGCGAGGGACGACGGGGACAGGTGGTGGATCTTCGAACAGATCTCGGAAATGTGTGTCTCAGTTCCAGATACGACTAATGGGAGTGCCATATAAGCTGCCCCATTGACCCCCAGTCAACCACCCCAACTGATCGGCATATATGGCAGTCCCATGGAGTGTCTGGGAGTCTTCTTTGTCACGTAAGGAGTGGTGTCATTTGTGAAGTGCAGATGCAGATCAAAGGCGCGATAAACTGCGGCTTCACCGGGCGACCTTGGATCAGCACGGGTTGCAGGTCACGAGGCGACAAAAGGAACTTAAGGAGATGCTGCATATGGCTGCATTCTGAAATCATCTAGAATCTATAGCCTGGTCCGAATACTTTCAGGGTAAAGCGTTCAAGGTCAAAGAACATCCAAGACCCCATGTGGAATTCTGAGAAGATGATGGAGACGGACCAAGTGTTGATCAGTTAGATCTTCCATGATCTTCCGAAGATATTTGGCACCTTTGGCTGTCAGAAGAGTCAACTGTTCCTCTCACTGTTTCTCCTTGGGCCTTCTCCCCCCGAAATGGGTCGATGGTGACTCTCTTTGACCGATGCGGCCCATGGGTGATGGGCTCCAAATCTCTCGGATTCTTGTTGTGGGTCTTTTATTTCATTGTCTTGCTTCTTTTATACCACCCGGACTTGTCAGGTCTCGCGTATTTTGGACAGTGGATTTGCTTTGAGGTACCTGTCAACCAGGAAACGCCTTGCCACCCCCAAAAAATCTCGGACACACGGTTGTGCCCGACTTCAATAGTGGAGGCATCCAAGAAGTGAAGAAGTCCGGCGGCCACAAGGCATATCGTGCCTCTCGGACGCATGGGGTGGGCAGGTGGGCAGTCCATGTTGGCGAGGGAGTCGCTTCGGAACGCAGAAAATAGTTCGCTTCGGAACGCGGGAACGGTATCGCTTCGGAACGCGTGTCAGAGCTAGTAGTTTGGAGGCCATCGCTACGACTAGTCTGCACTGTCTGGTTGCTAACAGCAACCCCCCCCACCCCCCACCCCCCACCCCCCCCAACCCGCTCATTAGTTTGCACGGCAGAAGTGTGCTTTGAAAGGCCATCAAAACGTGTGTGTGTGTGTGAAGATGTTGACCTTGTCCAATCTGGCAACCCTTTCAGCACTTCAGAGTCGCACTGTCTGGTTGCTAACTGCAACCCACCCCATCCCATCCCCCCCACCCCACCCCATCCTTCATCCTTAAAACCCTCCCCATCCGTGTCTGTGTGTGTGTTCTAAAGTGAACCAAAAATCAGGTGCGTTGTGTTCCAAAGTGATCTCGCTTTTTGCTAACCCTTCCATGTTTTTGTGTGTTTTGTGTTCCAAAGTGACCCATGTTTTGTGTTCCAAAGCGAACTAAAACCCTGTGTTCCAAAGTGAACTAAAACTTGTGTTCTGAAGTGACCCCGCTTCCCCATGTTGGGCACTGGGAGACAAGCTTGTGCCTCACACAGGTGTGTCTCACAGACAAGGCATTGAACATACCGGTGCAGGTTAAAAGGTCATCAGGACCCCCCCTGCCAATCCTACACCAGTATCATTGAACCAATCATGTCAAGTTGCCTTCAGCATCGTGGAGTAGAGATGGGTCCTCCCGAGTCCTCCTTCGAGCCTGGAAAACCAATCGCTGGGCGTAAACGGCCGCCCCCATCGGTCGCCGGTTGGGCCCAGCTCTGCCGCAACGGCGCCCAGGTGCAACGGGAGGTGAACGAGCTCATCTTCGAGGCTGCGGTGCAAAACAGCGAAGAGGCCGAGTCCGCGACGCCTAAGCTTCGACGCCAAGGGCCAAGCCCCAGCCAGCCCCAGTCCCGTGCTTTATTCCGGACGGTTCATGCGGGTGAGGAGATGGTTCCCGAAACTAGAGGAGTCTGAGAAATATGCCAGCACAGATAGCACAGACCCCAGATATCCCCAGAGAGCAAAAGATATTGGTGGGCACCCCGGAGCGGCACCCTGCACATGCTCTCGAACCCCAATAGCTCTCGTTCTCCGGTTCCTGGACAGCACGTGACAGCAAGTCCACGCGCCGCGCTAATGTGTCCATAAAACAACACATTCCAAGCCGGGGCAGATCCAAACGGTTGGGAGCACACTGCTGACTTTAAAATCCATTTAAAGTTCTATGTTTTTGAGGTGTTGGAAAAACCGAGGAAACACTAATGTTAACTCGAATTGATTTGATTCGATTGTTTATTCTGCGGGGCTGTTCTGATTTTGTAGATATTGTTGATGTTATTTTGTTTTAGCATGTGTTTGTCTTGAACTAAAGCAAATGGTCATACCACATTCACATTGGCATGGTTTGTTCTTTGTCTTGTTTCTTTGATATGACATTTGATTGCCAGGCCTGTTCTGAACACGTTGCTTGATTATGATTATGTTGGTGTTTTGCTTGTTTCTTTTGGTGTGTTGCTTGTTTCTTTGCATGATTTGTTCCTTGTTGCTGTTGGTTTGTCATATTGTGTTTGCTCTAAAACTGTTTTTTTCCCCAACAGCAGCATGCTTTGGGGTCTTCGGCCATAGTAAAGGTTTCGGAGCAAGCCGGAGCAGCTCCCAAAGACATTCCCCCAGGTTCCCACAAGGTTCCCAAGGTTCCTGCAAGGTTCCCAAAGTTCCCAAGGTTCCCACAACTTTGTTCCACAAGGTTCCCCCAAGGTTCCCACAGCTTTGCTCCAACGTTCCTACGAGGTTCCCACAATTTTGTTCCACAAGGTTCCCACAACTTTGTTCCACAAGGTTCCCACAACTTTGCCCCACAAGGTTCCTTCAAGGTTCGCAAGGTTCCCACAGCTTTGCTCCAAGGTTCCCACAAGGTTGCCACAACTTTGTTCCATAACGTTCCCACAACTTTGCCCCACAAGGTTCCCACAAGGTTCCCCCCAATGTTCCCACAACTTTGCTCCAAGGTTGCTCCAAGGTTCCCACGGCTTTGCTCCAAGGTTGCCCCAAGGTTCCCACAGCTTTGCTCCAATGTTCCCACAAGCTTCCCACAACTTTGCTGCAAGGTTCCCAGAAGCTTCCCACAACTTTGCCCACTTTGCTTCAAGGTTCCCACAAGGGACCAAAGGTTCCCACAGCTTTGCTCCAAGGTTGCCCCAAGGTTCCCACAGCTTTGCTCCAAGGTTCCCACAAGGCTTCCACAACTTTGCCCCACAAGTTTCCCAAGGTTCCCACAAGATTGCTCCAAGGTTCCCACAACTTTGTTGCAAGGCACCCCCTAAGGTTCCCCCACAAGGTTCCCCCAAGGTTCCCACAATGTTGCTTCACAAGTTTCCTACAAAGCACCCAAGGTTCCCACAACTTTGCTCCAAGGTTGCCCCAAGGTTCCCACAGCTTTGCTCCAAGGTTCGCGCAAGGTTCCCACAACTTTGCTGCAAGGTTCCCAGAAGCTTTCCACCCCTTTGTCCACTTTTCTTCAAGGTTCCTACAAGGTTCCCACAACATTTTTGCAGGGTAAGGTTGCCACAACTTTGCCCCACAAGGCTCCCAAGGTGCCCACAACATCGTTCCACAACTTTGCCCCACAAGGTTCTTCCAAGGTTCCCACAGCTTTGCTCCAAGGTTCCCACAAGGTTCCCACAACGTGGCCCCGAGGTTCCCACAAGGTTGGCGCAAGTTTCCCACAAGGTTCCCGCAAGTTTCCTAATCGACAGTCAAAGGAAACGTCATCATACCTCAATTGTATTTCATTGTGCTTCCTACTGTTACCTTTTACCTTGCTTACCTTTTAGTATCCTATCTTAATTTCCTCCTGTTCTCCATTCGGGCTCCGAATCCGCTGTCGGAGCCCCAATCCACAGCCAAGGCAACCTCATCATACCTCAAGTCTATTCAATTGTGGTTCCTTCTCTTAACTTCCTAACCTTCTAGTATTCTATTCTCTCTCCTATTCTCTATTCTCCATTCGGGCCCCGAATCCGGTTTCGGGGCCCGAATCGACAGTCAAGGAAACCTCATCATACCTCAAGTCTATTTCATTGTGCTTCCTACTGTTACCTTTTGCCTTGCCAACCTTTTAGAATCCTATCCTCTTAGTTTACCGTGCTAACCTAAAGAAAAAGTGTTGCATTTTGCGCTTAAGCTGTTGGGGGTATTCTTTGGGTTTATTTTATCATAATGCCCATCATTGCTTGAAAGCATGTCTTCATGGTTTATCAATGTGGTACTGGTACTGCTTGCAACCTTTGGTTGTTAAATTCTTATTGACACATACAGTCTTGCCTCTAGCTCCTGTTTACTAGTACCAGGGAAGTTTTTTACCCATAGAATCGTGCAATGTTCAATACCAGATTCTACAAGTAGCTATAAAAGTTAAATAAACCTGCACTCCCCAGCCAAATACTCTTTACAATCGCATGTATGTTTAGACATTCAATTATTGAGCTGTGCTTCCTATATAACAGTTTGCACATCCTCTATTCCAAACTTTGTAAATTGGTGCTTTATTATATTTTGGCACTTGTATTAAATATATTATATATATGATATGTTCCAATACATGTTACAGTTTCTGAGAACCCACAAGTAACTATAGATGAACCCGGGTTTAAGTTTCAGCTCAACCAACTATTCCATATCATGGAGGGTCTGAAACTGGACATTCACCGTTTGGGACGGTTCCATACCGCGGTTTGTCACCGGCCCAATGCGTTCTCGCCCGGTCTCACTGCTCAAGGCGGCGCCGAGCCGCTCGCCACTGGTTCGTTCCATCCACCAGAAAGAATAGAAACACATAGTACAAACTAGTGCAAACCGATCAATCCCCCAAGAAGCAACCAAAAAAATATGTCTATGATCTGGATGCACCAGAGCCGTGTTCCCTGGCAGGACTTGGCCTCCTTAGTGAAGGCCTACAACGTCACTGGCCAGGGCACCAAGGACAAGTGCCCTGGCCTAGTAGACGCGACCCGAGAGGTGGGTCCTCCACCGGGGCAGACCTGGGGACCTAGACTCATGGACATCCTAGACTCATGGACCCTCCTAAGTAGGATCAGTAGGGGCTGGCTGGCAGCGGTCCGGACCCGAACCAATCCCTCGACCCGTCGAGCTGTTTGGAACTGAGTCGGTCGGTCGCCAGACTGCTGGGACTCCAAGGAATGGCCGAAGCGCCTTGCATTACACGTGCCAGCACGGGGCATTGAAGGCCACGCGAGTGTGCCTCGGTGAAAGCGAACCAGACAGCCATGTAAGGAGGGAAAATAGAGCCGTGTGTGTGAAGAGGAGAAACACCGCAGATCGGGGTGGAGATAGTCTAAGTTTAACAAGTGACAAGCACGTGAGGCAGGAAGACATCACTGTGACATGTTCTTGTTAAGAGGCGCTGCCGGAAATCGGAATTCACTCTGGGAAATCGGGGCGTTTAGAAATGTCATGGACATGTGAAGGCAGGAAAGGGGCGCACGGCCCAGCTTTCGCCAATACTGAATGAACAAGGGCGTCGCCCAAAACTTTGACGTTGAACACCCAGCGATTCCGGAATAGGATCTGAACATGCGGCGGGTTCTGGGGTTCTCAACCGACAGGTGCGGAATGTTCATGTAGAGATTCTTTCTTATTACATAGTTGGGGGCCCCTGCTTCCTCTTGCTTCTCTTCACAGGATATTATCAAGTTGGAGCAGAGTTTTGGGCAAATGTTTTGCGTTTCAGGTTGATTCCTTGTCAGGCCTTTTCGTGTGGCACATATCAAAGAAATGACCAGTGGTCAAACCCTGGTAGAGAATCCTTTAGTTCACACTCTTGCAGACTGTTCTGCACCGCGCCGATCCACACCCTTGTCCATTGAACGCACAGGGAACCCTTATACTGACTGGTATAGGTTTGAATCCCTACTACACCATGTACTGTATTGGGGTTGCCACGGTATTGGTAGCTGCTCACTCGACTCCTGTTAGATTTGTTAGATGGGTCGAACGTGTCAGGCTGCTGGCAGCTGGCAGCAGTATTTGGCTCGAAGATGACAATGGAGCGACTTGGCCTTTCAGGCAAAGTGACTTGGCCCATGGGTGTCTCAGTCAATCCACCTCACGCAGGCAAAGATCGGCATCCCCATGTTTTGTTCAGCAAAGGCTTGGCAGTTGGTGTCGTTCCGCAAAAAAGAACGCTACGTTGCAGGGATTTACCACCTTGAAAGGCATAATCAGCGCATACCTGTCGGAGTCGCAGCAATGGACAACTCCCAACTTGATCGGTTGGTGTTTCCTTGAGGGGTCCATGGCGTTGAGGCTATTTCATGTGTGATTCCTTCGGATGAGGTGGCGTCAAGACCAGATATCCAAAGGATTCCATCGTTCAAATCTGTCGAAGAGGGGTGTTTGTGCACCCAATTACCGCAATGACCCTTTCTTCGGCACAACATCGTCTCCACGTCGACTTCAATTAAGGCAGTCCCAGTTTCTCCTGCTGTGTTTCTCCTCACCGTAGGTCCTTCCCTTCGAGTTGGCGCTGAAGCAAAAGCGTTTTGAGACACTCTTCTTGTGCCTCACTGTGATGATGCGCAAGGCGCCCAACCGGTCGTGGTCTCCACTTTGTGGTCTGAGACTGGCATGCGGAACTGGTGCGGAACTGTGTAACCTGATTCTTTGTGGTCATGTTGTGAAGGGATCATAAGTTTGGTTCACTTGGCTTTCTGGGAGGAGTCATGGGCATGGGGCTAGAGGTGTTTTCATGATCCTTGACATCATATGACCCCCCAAGAATCAGTAGCCTTGGGGACCAGCAGCTTTATTAGATTTAATGTGTGGCCGAAGGAGGTTGGGGCTCTTGTTTCACCCACACTCAAAGTGAGTTTGCGATGTTTTTGCTTTGTTTGTTCCTGTTTCAGCAAGAGAGATGCAGCTCAGGAGCACCCCTGGTCCTAACCTATCACCCACACCGACACATTGGCCCAACCATGCCAAACCGCTGGATCACTGCTTCCGGCATGTTCCACCTGCTGTCCACCCACCTTACCCACCACACAAACCCACCGAAGGATTGCACATCACCAGACTGCACATGAACCATTCTCAGGCCATACAGTTTGTATCGGCGTGAAATTCCTTGCTAATAGTAGCAAGTGCATCGCTAGCTACGTATCTTACGAACGTCGCAAGAAACTACGAACGGAAATAGGGCCGGGCATCGCTACGAGTTCGCGTACAAGGACGCTACCAGGACCAAAGGGAGCGCCTCCTGGCCTTACTACTAAGTAACAAGAAGAAACGAACGTAGCGATGTTTCCCAGAAATTCACTCTTAGAGACAGAGAGAGTCCCCACGGTGGTGGGAACTGCTTGTGAAGCCACACATAGGCTCACGTCGCAAGGGGGTGTGAACAAGGCCGCAAGTGAACAGGGCCTGGCATTGTTTAGGTGTAGGGGAGAACACTATGTACATCTATGTACCAAAATACATATATATATATATATACATACACACACATACACATATCACATATCATTATATCATCCAATAGCTACTAATATAGCTCTACCAACGGAGGATCTTCGAAGAAGAGAGCATGAGCCTTTCCTGCAAAAATGATGGATGGAGATGCTGATGTGCAACATGTAGAAATTAGTTTGTTTGACCTACCAAAACGATCTGGGGTTTGTTGTTGGCTTAAGCGATTCCAAAAAGATTTGCAAGCATTTTGTGGATTTGTGATGTGCAGGGGCCGCGATTCAAAAAATGTTTCCACCGCATAGCGGAGCAGATCGTACCCTGGTGGTGTGCGAACATTGCGGCCTGGCGGAAGTCGAGTGGGTGTGGCGGAACACATGACATAGAGCGAAGCTCAGTTGGATAAATTGGCCCCAGATGTTGTGTTCCACTGAGGCACCAAGAGAGGTACGAGACTTAGAGAGACCCATGGGTTGATCTTCCCCAAGTGTGTGCGTGTGTGTGAAAACAGGTAATGATTGCTTAATTGCCTGAGTGCAGACGCTTTATATACATCAAGTAGTTCAATGAAACAGAAATCCTAGGGTTATGGAGGGGCTCTCTCTATATATATATATGTAATTATGTATATTATGTCAGTTTTATCACTTTCAGAGATCTTCATTTTCCATACCCATATATGATAGACATTCCTGTGCACCCCACCCAAAGAAAGATGCGTGAACTTGCGCTGGTTTTGGTGTCTCGTTTGCAAGGCACCAGAATTTGGTCCCAAAGTTTTGAGTGCCAAAAGGCAATCTAAAGCGAAAGGCGAAGCGCGAAAAGCCAAGCCACTTTGTCAAGATCTATTTGTCGTCCCACCGCTAAGCTAAAAGGAAACTTTCTTCGAAGGATCTCCCCGTGGCCAACAGACTGGTACTTCATTCGCATTCGGAGCTTCCAAACCCGTGATCTTTGAATGTTCCCCGCAAGGATCGATTCCCTCATTCCTCCCGCAGCTGGAACACACCGGTCAGTCGGCCCGCAGCTGGAACACAACCGACACGACGCCGACTCAGACGCGCTTGCCGGTGGGAGACGCTGACCTCCTACGATGGAGGGAAGCAGGACGGCGACGGGCAGGTGCAACGGCAGGTGAGTGCCTAACGAATGAGCTCCCGAAGAAGCATTTGGGACCTAGAGATGTCCTGCCTGTCTCTTTTTGGGGCATCAGGAGGGTGGCTGATGTGAGTGGCTGATGTCACTTTCTTGTAGCCAATTGTGAGTGGCTGATGTTTTGGAATCTCGTAAACGAGTCATGTTTCATCATCACCCGTCTTTGGACCGTTTCCAAGAGCGCCTGGCGAACCGTTTGAACGTTCGTTCCACGGACCTGTCTCGGAACAAGACGCCCCCATCTCTATGTTTATCGGTTAAACCTGAACCTGGTATGCCATTGGCCATTGAACTTAACGTCGTAAAGTGACTAAGCAATCGTTTTGACCTGGGAAGTACAGCATGCTACTTGCTTGCAAGGAGTTCAGTTGCCAAGAACAGAACCATTGCATGCTCCGTGAAGTTCTGTAGTTGCTGCTGTCAGACTTGGGGGAAACAGTCTCTCACATTGGATTGGTGTCCAACCCAAACAGTGGATCAATTTGTTCTACAGGTGGTGGAGGGATGGAGAGGGATCATATTTCAGTCAGTTTGAGGCTAGTAGAGCTGAGGTGAACTTGTGGTCCCAGTAGAACTGGGCTGCAAAAGCATGCTTTTGGGATGTGAGGTGTGAAGAAGATTTCACAGTGAGAAATTGAATGCCGACTTCAATATCGATTGGTTCGGCAAACTTATCTTACTCAAAGCATTTTTGTTTGGTTGTTGTATCATCTACATTAGTCTATCAATCTATGGTCTGTTCGTCAGCATCCTATCAATAAATGAGCTAATTGTTCGATCCACTTAACCTATAATATCAAATAGGATATAAATCCACTTAACCTATAATCCACTTAACCAAAACGACCTATAAATAAGCTCTATGTATATATATATATATATCATCACAACAAATCAAGTCGTTTTGGTTTATGTGCGTGTGCATGTGTGCATTTGTGTGTTTGAGTCCTTTCTGCATCCGGCTTTAATCTCCTTGTCCGGACATGTTACAAATGTGTGGCTGTGGCACGGATGTGACTGGAGCAACGGATGGAGGACATTCATTCATGGCACGGACAGATGCTGCAATGCTCAATGCAGCGGCAACTGTCATTGTTTGTTAGATAGTTTTTAGCTTGGTCTCAACCATTGGTTGCACCACACAGATTCACTTGAAACCTCAGCTGCACACCATGCGAACACATTTCAGAGCAAGATCCATACTTGTGCCACCGGGCGGAAAATGGCCCTGCCAAGAATCCGTGGGCTGTTTCATGCGTTTTCATCGATTTGGCCGCCGGGCTCGTTCTCCTTTGCCTTTGCTAATGCCTCCAAAGGGTATATACCTTCTATATCCTTCTATGTGCTTCGGGCAACTGGGCCCACTGGCTCGTCACTTCAGATGACCCCTCACTCACTCACTCACTCACTCAGACAGACAGACAGACAGACAGAATCAGACAGAATCAGACAGAATCAGACAGAATCAGACAGAATCAGACATAATCAGACATAATCAGA